CACGAAATAAGTGAGAAGTCTGGGAAGTGACCCCTCCCTCCCACTCCCCCGCCACACCTACCCACGCCTTACCCCCTGTCTCCCCCTGCCTTCCACTACTGCATTAATTCCAGCCAGACCCCTCACCACCACCACCACCCCCCCAAGGCCACAGCCCCAGGCTCCTTCCAGAAGACCCAGCTCTCCACCCTCTGGCCCAGCCTTATGTAATCGACCCCCATGTGCCCTCCTGGGGGATCTTCTGCCATGGCCTCTAACTGGGGCACACACCCCCTCCCACACAGAAGCCCCTCAATGCCCTCCAAACCAATGCCGCATGAACAGCTCACGGGCTCTCCTTAGGTCTGGCCCTGCCGCCCTCTCCAACCTGGCCACTTGCCAGCTCCTGCAGGGCCAAGGCCCCAGTGCTTCCAAACCACTCCCAGTCAACAGACACCCTTGCCCAGCTTCTGGGTCCTTCCCACCTGTGCTCCCTGCCTGCAATGACATTCAAGTCCCTCACTCCCCACCCGCCCCTGGCCCAGCGTATCCGGTATCAAGAGGCATCAACTTCCCTACAAGGCCTTCCTCACCCTCTGCCCAGCCCTTCCTTTAGCTGTCCCCTCCTGTGTCCTCACAGGCCCCCAGCACAGAACAGACAAGCCCCAGAGCGCCCCGGGGCTCGCCCATGAGCTCGGGGACAGTCCCCACGGCAGCTCCCACCCAGATGCCCAGCACGCATCCTCCAGCTCTTGCCATCCTTCCATCTCTTTCTCAGTCTTTCCCTTTCTGCTTGATGCTCTCCACCCAACCTCCTTTCCCGGATGGCTCGCCCAGAAGCTGAGCAAACACGTATACGAGGCACTCCAACATCCCAAACAAGCAACATTCTGGAGAAGCCCAGAGCAAAGGCCTGCTGCCGGCCCTGCGCTCTTCTGCAAACTGGGGAACCTCCTTTCCATCCTCGCCCGCCTGAGAAACAGCAGCTGCTCCAGAGACGGGCTTTCATCATGTCCGAATTCTCAAGGAATTTGGAAGGAAGCCGGCCCATCTCTGCTGGGTAGCTGTACCTCCCACACTCCGGCTTGCTCCTTTGCATTCTAAAATACGACTCCAACCCCCTCTCCTACAGCTGGTCCTCTCCTTCTCCCCCTGCGCTCTGCAAACACCTGGTGGAAAGCCCCAGGACATGTGAGGCAGAGGGAAGGATGCAGAACACTGCTTCCCGAGGATGTGGAGGCTGGAGATCACAGGACAACAGGGTGTGCTGTTCTCGCCTGATCTCCTTCCATCAAATTCAGGGCTGCCCTAGCAAGCAGCGGTGGGGTCCAGGGACAGAGAACCTCCCAGGCGTCCCTCTCAAGCCCTTCCCACAGAGCAGGTCAAAGCGGGAAAACGCTCCCCAGGTGACACCGTCCTGCAGGGCTGATGCGAGCTTCCTGCTCGGCCCTCAGCAGAGCCCAAGGCCACAGATGACCCAAGGGTCCAAGACATGTTTGCTCCCAACAAAGGCTCCCTGGGTGAACAGTGGTGGCTGTACCGTAGTTGGCACTTGGTCCTGTCTAGCACCTGTGTGTCGCAGGAGCAGAAGCAGAATGGCCTGGGGAGCAGGCAAAGCCCTGGTCGGGACTGTGGGCTTGAACCTGCCTGCTGGCCTGGCTCTGTCAGGACAAGGCTTATAGCCACCAGCCGGGCTCACCCTGCCTCCTTGGGGCAGCCTTCCTGACTAAACAATCTCTTCCAGACTGCCGACAGCGGAAGGCGCCGGGCTTTGGTCCCTGTGAGTCCCCCACACCTGGGGCCTGGGACTCAGCAGGCCCCCAGGAAAAGACCTGCTTGCTGAGTGCTGCTGCAGAGAGAGCCGGGGCTTCCCAACCTGCTGGCCACCAGGGGCCTCCTCAATGGCCAAGCAAGGCCTGAGATGGCCGGTCAGGGGCCTGTGTGCCCAGCATCCTCCTTACAATAACACCAAGGAAGAAACTGAGGCAAAGGGCTACCTGCGACCCTCAGTCACCACAGGCAGCCCCTCGGGACGAGGAGGATGGGGGGCACCTTGTCCCACAGCGCACTCCACTCTCCCCTCGTCTGCCTGCCTGAGCCCCAACGTTAGACAGAAGGCACGATTTCCACTCCTCCCGGCCCTACTGGACTCGGGGCTTCCCGCGCTACGTGAGCAGGGAGAGCAGCAGGTTCTCCGTATCAGAGCATGCCCTGGCCTCACAGAGCCCGGTTAGGGGAGGCCGGTCGGCCTGCAGACAGGCCCACCACCTCAGTGGGTGCAGAGGCCGGGAGTCTGAGTGGCCCAGCCCGGAGGGGCCTCTGGATGGCCTGGGAGCCCTCTCCAAGACGGTACCTGCTTCAGAGCCCGGTTCTGAGAAGTCAGTGGGGTAATGTTCAAAAGCAGTGGCCTTCACACCAAAGCCCCCAGAATAAATGTTTAAAATTATGTATCTATTTGTACATTTGCAAGTTGACATCTAAAATTTCTCATGGTTAAGTTTAAATACTTGTAGAGGATGTAATTTCCAACATATTGTAAATATTAACATTTCAAAATAAAACTGTTACTGTTTCTCTTTTAAATGGATCCAGGGGAATCTAAATACCATCGCAATTTGAGATCCACCGTCATCCATCCTAAAATTACAGAATCCGGTTCTTCCTCTACACTTGGAAATTTCGAAAAGTTCCTTTTGCCTCCTCAAATTCCAATTTCCAAACCACATCCCTCAGTGTACTTCATGTGTAAAGGCCTTTTACTGATTAGTCTATTAACACTACGAGGCAAAAAAAAAGTAAGTATATAAATGCTTTAATTTTTTTAATTTTGTGTGACCATAAAGCTCTGTCAGAAATTTTCTTCTGGACTGAATTATTATTACAGTTACTATTAGTACATAATTGATCCCTATGACAGAAACATTACAAACTGTACAAGGAATAAACATAAAACATTAAACCTTATCAGAAATACATCTCAAGAGAGAGACAAACAGGAATATTTAAGAAGTATTTCATGTATCCACAAAGGCAGAGTTTATTGTCAATTGTATTTTTTCAATTTTTATAGACACAAGCGCTGAGACCACTTCTTCAAACAAATAAAAACATGGAGAAAGATTTACATAGCAAATTCTCTGAATTCCTTTAAAATGACATGTCAAGAGTTACAGTAATTGTTATCCAAAATCATTTTTAATGTTCTATCAGCCGACAACTGAATCAGGTCCTTTCACAATCTTGCTGCAAGGAAAGAACTGGAGAAACCTCACCTGCCCTGAGAGCACAGTGACCAGCCGCAAGGCCTTGGCAGGTCTGGTGCCCCAGGGTCACATCTGCTGTGGACAATGTAAAGAACAAGCTTCCTGTGTGCCAGGCATGGCGCCAACTGCTTTACCCAAATTAACTCAATTAGGCCTCACGTGATCCCAGGGGACAGGCACAACTATTATCCCCATTTTACAGATGGGGAGACTGAGGCCCCGGGCGGTCAGGCAACTGGCCCGAGGTCACACAGCCAGAAAGGTGAGCCCAGGCGATCCTGACCGTCACTGCTACGTGCAGGGGCTCTGTGGAGACGGGAGGAGGGCTGCTGTGGAAAGGGTGCCAGGAAGGAGGGTTTAAAAGCTCCTCCCCAAGCACGCGTGCCGCGGGAACGAGCACGTGAAGGAGTTGCGGAGCAGCAAGATTTGCTTTCTGAAATGTGCTCCCACCCTCCCTTGGAGAGCTTAGCCACAGATGCTTCTCGCAAGTACACGGCGCTGGTGCCCGGCACACCACCATCCCCAGTAAACATTAACACTCACGTTGTTACGACCGCCATTCACTAGCAGCAGCAGAACTAATGCCCCTGACGTGGTCCCGACTCGAGGACACTGCAAGATCTTACCAGCACTTTATCCTCTTGGTTCCTGACCCTGGGCCCCAATATCCTTTTTTTAAATAGTAGCCAGAGCCAAGGGGCGCCTGGTTGAGTGAGCCGGTTGGTTGAGTGTCTGACTCTTGGCTTAGGCTCAGGTCATGATCTCAGGGTCCCGAGATCAAACCCCACCTTGGACGCTGCGCTCAGCAGGGGGTCTGCTTGAGGATTCTCTCCCTCTGCCCCTCCCCCCGCTCACTCATGAGCTGTTTCTCCGTCTCTCTAAAATAAATAAATAAATCTTAAAAAAAAAAAAATAGTAACCAAAGCCCAGGTGATAAGAAGCCTGGAAACATTTAGTAAATGGAACACTGAGTAAAAGTAACGTGCAAAAGAGCCCCGGTTAGCAGAAAAACCATGGGCTCTGGAGACACAGCGACCCACAATCAAACCCCGACGCTGCCACTTACCAGCCAAGTTCCCCAAGGGCTATCCTGAGCCTCCGTTTCCTCACCTCTAAAACACTACTCCTGTCACCGGCTGGCTGCACAAAAAGGGACAATACCACTGGGGCAATGAGCCCAGAAAACAAGAAAGACTGGCGTTGGCTGACGGCACGCTCACTCCCCCCTTCCTGCCCCCTCCGTCGGTCACCGACACCTCGCGTGTGGCAAGCACCCATCCCCGGCATCCAGCGGCCCACAGGGGCCTGGCTGATTCTGAAAAACCAGCCAAGGGTCTTGGATTCCAAATTTTGCAAAGAGTCTTTCTCTGTATCTTGAAATTCCAAGTTCTCCAAACACTGGGGGGACGCCAGGAGGAGGTGCAGAAAGAGGCATCGCGGTGGGTTTTATTTTTAGGTACTGGTGTGGAAAGCGTCCAGTTTGGCTTCTCTCTGGTCCGCAGCCACCAGTTCCTCCCCCAAGTCATCACCAAAGTGAACAGCAGACACATCAAGGAAGATTTTGCAATTCTTCTTCTCCCCGGTAAATTCTAGAACAATGGCTCCAAGCCTCCCGTTCCACCCCGGACTAAGTGGATTAAAGGTTTTAGTCTAAATCTTCCCAGGAAGCCATGTAAAGCAAACCCACTGCCCCCCAGGTTGCCCTCACATCCTGAAACTCCAAGGCCCTCTCCCCTCTCCCCACCCCTCCCCTCCTACCTGTGGCAGGGGTAGGAGCATCCCACGGTATGAGTCTGGGGTCCTCCGGGACAGGAATCAGGTATTGGGGGAAGGGCACATTTCTTCCCCTTTTAAGTAACATGTCTGCTGGTGAGCACATGAATTCACTTCCTCTAAAAACTGCTCCCCACAGAAATTTCTCTGCAAACCCTGACAAGCGCTGTAGCTAACCTCAGGGAAGGCTTAGAACCCTCCCGGCAGCCACTACCAATCAATCAGAAATGGCCCCGAAAGCACATGTCTTAGCCATTCCTGAATTCTGACTTCCCCCTTTTAATGTCCAAGAAATTTAGGTCCACAGGAAAACTCAGTGCAGATCACGCAACTTTGCAGAACTAAAATGAGCCTGGATGAAAAATCGACAGTCGATGAGGGGCTTCCAGAAACTACCTCCTCCCCGGAAACGAACCTCAACCTCCAGGACACAAGTTCAACCCACTACAAGGAGGGAGACCAGAGGAAGAATTCATTCAGCAACCCTCCACCAAGGCTTCCAGAGAGGAAACCCAGTCCCACCCCAGCAACACTCCCCCGCCCTGGCTGCTGTCAGAGTGTGTACATCTATTTTGGGGCAGAGCCCACCCCAGGCCCTGGGAGGGCTTCTTTCTCCATCCATCCTTCCTTCTCCAGCCAATGAGCACCTGACCCAAGTCCACCCCAGGGTGAGGCAGCATGGGGATCAGGAGCGCCCCCACCCCCCACTGACTCTGTCCACTCTCCAGAAGCCAGGCGCCCATAGGGGAGATCAGATGTGGCCGGACTGACAGCAGGGAGGGGACGCACCTGACCTAGGAGTCCGGGGGAGAAGGGCGGGGGGCAAGAGTCGTCTTGGCAATGATACCACTTACAAGCATGGTCCGAGAAAGGAGAGGGCTCACCCCCAGAGGGCCGAGCAGCCAAGGCAGGGGCCCAGGGGGGCTCGTGCTTCCCTGGCAGAGGAGAAGGGCAGACAGAGACAAACCATGGGGGGCAAGAGGACCCCAGACACCTGGCTGGGTGGCCAGGCTCCCCCACCCTGCCTACCCCCACCCCCAGCCAGAGCCCCAGCTCTCCCCCACGGATGAAGAAACCGCAACTCCACAAACCCCAGAGACCACCGACCACAACCCACGTCCTGCCAGGGCAGAGATCACGGAGGCTCTACATGGGGAGAAGTTAAACATGAGAAGCGAGTGAAGGCGCTCAAGCGCCCAGACTCCTGGGGGAGAGGAGGAAAGGGGGGCCCTAAAAGGCCCACCCACACGAAAAATGGCGAGGGCGTGGTCTGTACTCACCTGCACCACTTCTATCCCTCGCTTTCTGTGGAGAGAAACAGAGAAAACAAAGGTTACCCAGGCAGTCAGGAAGCATCCTTCCAGAACATTCACTGCAGCCAGCTGAAGGCATGGGAGAGCCTGCGGCTGCACCCCTCAAGCACAGTCCCACAACAGCCCCATTAGCAGAGGGAAGGTTTGTGAACTCCTAGTCAGTCCTCAAGGCCGCCTCTTGGCAGAGAGAGAGAGTCGTTTCTCAGAGGGACTTGGCTGTCATTCTACAAAGACCCCAAGTTTGCTGGTCTTCCTCACAGCCAGCTGTCTCCCTCTCCAATCTCAGGGGCAGCCCTTCATGGGCACAGCTGCACCCAGGATGCTCCCCTCCACCACATTTACCACCAATGGTCTGACCTTCCCTCCTTGGCTCCACCACCTCCCATGGCTCCCCATTTTCTCTGCTATCTGGTCTAACACCTTGGCCTGGCCTCCCAGCTCTGCCTCAATCCATCCACTCTCCCATGTTGCAGGAGGCCCCTGCTCGGCTCAGTTAGTGCAATCCTGGCCATCTCTAGCCCCCACTGACGCCCTATGCGTCCTCTGAGCCTGGTTCAACCATCACGGGCCTCGCCAATATTGCTGCCAGCCTGCCTCCTCCACCTCTCACCCACAATCCCATGGCCACTGTTCTCCCACACACATGCCCTAACTCACCCCACCCCACTACACAAGGGGTCAGGGTCTCTGAGGAACACACAAAGGCCCCCTGCAACTCACCCACTTTTACCTCCCCCCACCCCAAGCATCTGGGCACATGGGCTGTGTCACTTCTCCAAGCCTTGGTCCACACTTTCCATCCCAGCCTTTTGGATGTAGCTCAGAGAGAAGCTCTCCTAGGAAGCCTCCCCCAACCCACGACACCCTCGCCCTACCGACCTACCCAAAGCCAAAATACTCCCAAGAACCTGGGACCACCACCATCCCAGCCCTTTGTTCCAGAGTCCTTCTGGGCTGTCTCCTGGGGCAGCATGCTGGGGCAGGCACAGGGGTCTATGTGGAATGCCAATGGCATGCCCATGGCCAGGCCCATGTGCATTTTCCTGGGAAGAAAGGCCGGGGCCCCCCAGAGGTGCTCAGAGGAGGTTGTGACCAGGCAAGGTTGGAAATCAGAGCAGGGACTATGGCAGGTTCGATGGCTATGTGTACCACGTGCTTAGTTACGGCAGCTGCCTGGCATACAGACACCCCCTAAACGCAAATACATAACACTCAGCTCAGGGTCCTGTGCCCAGCCTGGCCCAGCACTCACGGGCACACCAAATGCAACAGACATCGCTCAGGCCCTGAACGGGCTCACAGTCTAGGGAAGGAGGTGGGCACAAAGCCCCCTGGGCACCGTCACCATCCCCTCACACAACACAGCGGAGGTGATGCCTGCCAATCCTACATTTTGTTGGTTAGAGCATCGGGGTGTTTCCCGACACCTCCTGAGAGCCGGCACCCAGCGGAACCTCGAAAGGAAGCCGCTACATGAGACAGCAAGACAGACCGGTTCTCACTGTGGGATACGCTGAGCCAAACTTCCCCTCAACCCCCAACACCTCAACACAGCCCCAGGTCCCAAGGAACCCAATCTGAAAACCACAGTGGCTGATGCTTCCAGGGGTCCCCACCATCACTCAGCTTCTGCACAGCTCCAGAACAGTTCCAGAATGATAGCCAATACCCTTTGGCTTCCCTGACGTCATGAGGGGAGAGACTGGGCACAGAGCACAGCCCTGGGCCACCAGCACCCACAGCAGCGACACCTCAGAGCCTCGGCCTCACTCCCAGATTGTCCTGCTCCACCTGAGCACCGGTGACAGTGACCGGCCCATGGCTACTTGACTCATGACGGGGACTAGCCAGGTTGGGTTCAGAGAGACTCCTCACTTTGCCCCTGGCCCCGCTCCAGGAAAGAAGTCTTGAACAGCTGAGGGAACAGCTCCTTGGGAAGTCCCCAAGGACAAGACTTGGGGCCGCACCACAGGAAGGACAGATGGCACCGAAGGGGACAGCGGGCGTGTGTGGACGCGACCCACACCAGGTGGACAGGCCTGCGCTGGGCCGCCGCCAGGCCCTGGGTTTCCCCTTTGAGTTAATCCTCATGGCATCCCGATTATCCCGGCGTGTGGCTCTCATCTCCTTCCGAGGCCGAACGCAGTCACTGCCCATCTGCCCACATCTGACACCGTCCCAGTCAGCTTGCCCTCCCCCAGTCCTAAAAAACAAACAGGACTCCAACTTTGAAAACACAAGAGACCCGTAACATGAAAGAAACAACAACACCAAGTTCATCTTGAGAACAGGCAGGCTAAAAATATTAAGTGAGAATGAGCTCCCAGGAGCCAGACTAGCTCCTCTGTAGCTCAGAGCTCCAAGAACAGGATCTATCTCGACTCTGGCAGAAAAGAGAGGGGCTCCCCTTTCAGCCCACATCAGCCCACAAGGGAGACACCCCCTCAGCCAGGGCAGCTAAGGTGCACTGGGTGCTCTCTGCCCGCCGATGCCTTCCTCAGCCCCAGCAGGGCGGGGCAGTGATGACCTGTTACTCGGATGAGAAAGCAAGAGGCCGGGCAGCCTCAGGAAGTGTGGGCTGCCCCACGGCCGGGCTGTCACCAGCAGGCACAGCAGGGCCGGCAGGGGAGGCACAGAGGACGGCCAGCCTGGTCTCTGCACCGCAGGGCCTCGGTGTAAGGGGGGAGCGGCGAGGAGGGCGGCAGGCAGGAAGTCACAGGCCCCATAGTGGCGGGACCCCATGCGCACCACTGCAGCCCACTCCGCAAAGGAGAACATAAACCTACCGGGGCCTCATTCCTTCCTCTGAAACTCCTGTGGGACCAAGAGACCAACAATCCTCACTTCCCAAGCAGCAGGCTCCTGAAATTCCCCAAGTCCAGAAATTGGTTTCTGACACCAAGGGGGAGGAGGGAGGAGAAGATAAGCCAGAGAACTCGCTGTCAAGGGATTACCAGTCCTCCTGAAAACGCCCGCGCCCATCCTGCCCCACAGACGTCCTCACATGGGCGGTGTTTCAGGCTGGTCACTGCGACAGCGGAAGACCGAAAGACCATAAGAGGGGCCATTAAGAAACCACACGTGGTCCGAGAAATACTAGGCAGTAAGTAAAAAGAACGAGGAACCCCTCCATGCGCCCAGAAGGCTTTGTCTAGGTGAAGGCGCAAGGTGCAAAGCTCTGTGTGCTGCCTGCAACGTCCTGGGTTAAGAACACCATCCAGCACAAGAACGTGGGCTTGCACACACACAGAATGAATCTGAAGGTACAGGAAAGAACGGAAGAATATGGTGTAGGGTGGCCCCTGGTCAAGGGCAAGGGCAGCTGGAGGGACGGGTGAGAAGACTTCCGCCCCACCGCACACTCTCCCGCCGGGGCGCTGCGCCCCGTGCACCCAACAACAGATTCTCAAGCACCAGGAACTGTTTTCTTTAATTATCTTTTAAATAATAGGTAAAACTCCAGCTGCCACCATGCCCAGGGCTTGGCGTAAAGTAAATGCCTGATAAAGGCATGAAGAGATCAACCAATCAATAACGTGAAGCAGGGGCGCCTGGGGGGCTCAGTCAGTGAAGCGTCGGCCTTCGGCTCAGGTCATGGTCCCGGGGTCCTGGGATCGAGCCCCGCATCGGGCTCCCGGCTTCTCCCTCTCCCTGCCACGCCCCCTGCTTGTGTTCGTGCGCACTCTGCAAATAAATAAATAAAATCTTATTTTTAAAAATAACGTGAGATAGAGAGTTCAGGATTTATCTAGAAAAGCTTCCAAGTCCTGCTCATAGAGGAGCTGAAACCAGGCCCATTCTGGGAGCATGAGACTGCCCTACAGGGAGCGTTCAGGCCCGATTCTACGCACACTTGACTATTCGAGTATCTGGCAAACAGACCGGGAGGGCGGGCACCGCCTGTCAGCTGTGGCCGCAGCAGGAAAGACATGGGTGGCTTTTTTCCTTGACATTTCCTTGTATTTTCTAGTTTTCTATAATAAGCATAGATATCAAGCCCCAAATTTGATAGAAAAAGCAACAATAAAAAGTTAAAGTTAAATAATTAAAGAAGTTTATTTCAACCTTGCACCTGGAGAAAACTTGTACAGGATCTAAAACTGTTGCTTTCTTGATAAATACTGATTAATAAGTTTTGGACAGAGAACCACCCCCGCAGGTCATAATTATAAACCTGTTTTTCCAAAAGCTGGATCACTGTGAAGGGAAGATCTGTTTTGTAAAAGGACTCCTCCTTGCCAGAAGTCCGAGGAGAGCACAGCCTTGAGGAATTTAAAATGCTCATTTTCGAAGCAAACTATCCTTTCAGGGCAGGAGGGGGAGCGTCAGAGAAGGCTTCAGGGAGGAGGCGGCGTCGGCCATTTCAATGAAGGGGAACAAGAGACAAGACCCTTGGGAGGAGAGGTTAAAAAGGAACAGCATGAGGATTGCTCCCTTCCCAAAAGGTGCCTGCAGGTGTGGGAGCACAAGATCCACAGAGAGGGGTGCGCAGGGGCAATGAGAAGGGGCCAGAAGATGCGGGCAGGCCAGAGAGGCCTGGAATGTCACAGGGCAGCCTGGCCTTTACCCTGCGGGCCGGCGGATCCCAAATACCAGGGTGGAC